GATGAAACATTTATCATATAAGTTGAAGAATCAAGAAATATAAAACTTGCATGTAGGCTAAAGTTTTACTCAATAAGATTCATTACAACTATTATGATAAAAAAAAAAAAAAAACTTAAGAAATCATGTTCCTTTCCTTAATCACTGTGGGTAAATTAAGAAATATGATCTAAAGTTTACATCATAAAATTAAACTTTATGATAGAGATGAGAATTATTTACAAATAACCATAAAGTAAATAAAATTGATTTATTTCTTTCATCACTTAAAACTACTAAACTACATTCCGATACATAATTGCCTGTGGGCTAAATTATGATCGTAGTCCAGTATTTCATCCTGATTAACTATACAAATATAACGAAATTGCCTGTGGGCTAAATTCCATCATATTACATACAAATAATCACAAATGATATGTCCAAAACTGTATGTGACCATGATAAACTGCTTAATATATAATTTTAACTGATTAAGGATGCTGTGGCTACTCCCCAACTCATTAAAATTATAAGATCACTAGACAATTATCATTGCCATCTTTATGTAATTTAAACCTTAGACAATTTTAGTAAATTAAAGATGTTACATGTGGCTACTCTTTAATTAATCTAAAATTGTAATCACATGGCAAAAAGAGAATTTAAAGCCTAACAAACAAATTAAACCAACACATGATAGACAATTATTAGGTATACTCCCAGGAAAGTTAGTCGAGACGAAGCTCGGTTAAATACCAACTCCTTAGACAGAGTAACGTCGCAAGGGGACTAGTAGCAACAAGGCTTTTAAGCCAGGGCCATAGAACTAGTATTCCTCCCCAAGAAACTTCCCTAAGTCAAGCGTTTTCATGTTTGAAGTAAAATCGTTTGGGAGATCTATGAGATTGTAGATTCACCTACGGATAAGGCATTAAATTGATGAACTAAATTAACGGACTAAACGTGCTTAAATTCAGGCACTACCGCAGCTAAAGTGTATGCATTAGTCCAAATTAAATAGGAAGTAATATAAGTCCATCCTAAATTTATGCATTTCTAGAGGCATAATAAAAAAAATTGCATAATTTAAAACAAAATATTATGTTTAGGACAAATATGCATAAAAATAAACATTAAACTCATATATTCCAGACAAATTGCATAACCTAAAGCAATTTACAATATGAGATTTCAATAATTTGAAATTTTAAACTGTAAACCCATGACAAAATGTTTAATGCATAAAGATCAAATTTATGAGAAATAACTGAATTTACAAATTATAACAATAACAAACCAAAAGTATATGTTATCATTTGTAAATCAAAATCTCACAAACCCTAATTGCATAATTAAACTTAATATTATGCATTTAATGTGATCAAATGCATAAAACAATATAAAGAGTATGAAAAATACACCAAATATTCATTTATTCATACTTAACCAAATATGGGAAATAACATTAATCATAATTCAAAGACTAAATAAATTATGGAATAAATGTACAGTAATGGCAATAGTCAGTTGCCTTAAAAAAATTTTTTATCTGAAGCATTGCCACATAAACATAATTGGAAACAAATCAGGATTCATAAATAAACCATAATAATAATGTTATCATTAAAATATTAATGGTAATAAATAAACTTATAATCACCATTAATATTTGGTAATAACAACCAAAGTATGGTAATATACCCTCTTTAATATTTCCATTTTTCTTAAGGAAATAAAATGTGACAATTTCAAAATTATAGCAGTCAAACTATAACTATAGCACTAATTATCAATAAATAATGATAAAAACTTAATGACTAACCTTAATGATACAAACTGCATCTCCCATAGTGCTAAAATTCTTCCATCTTCAGTTAGTCACCTCAATGCAACATCCAATAATACGTAACAATAGTCATCACCAAATAGGTAATCTTTCCAAACATAATAGATTACCAAGCAATAATAATTATTATGAAATGTAATAAACGAGATTAGCCCCTCAACTGAATAACAGTTATTAATTATGCCAATTATGAACTATAATAAAAGGCAAAACTGTAATTAAGGGAATAACGAATGCCGATCTCATATTCCCACATAATAATTAATCAAGACTACAATGTCTTTTAGAGAGACTGAAATTATGGTAACAATCAAATTACCATTGTAAAAGCAATATACCAACTATATTGCTTACTATATCATTAAAGAAATTAATATTATTATTAAGGCCCTGAAAACTATTGATAGATTAAAATATATATAATCAATTTAAACAATAGTTGTAATTCTTAATAGCCAAAATAACAATTATAATCCTAAAATTCTTAAAGGCTCATAAGTAGACCCAAAATAATAATTATAGCACTTAATCACTCAAATTAGACCCATAAACTCAATGGTCCAAGTGACTTATGACATGGATATAAAATGATTTAGTACTGAAATATATCCAAACTTAATATTATTACCAACCATGAATACCATTAACAAAATATGGTAGTTAGTAATAATTAAGACTTAGTGAACATGTTATGCATAATAATCAATATTATTACCATAATAAACATATTATAAGTCAAACTAAAATGGCTATAATTAACATTAAAATATCACTCAATAATGGTGGGATCCAAACTTTAATGACTTAATTTAGGTCCCAAATAGCTTGTTCAAAATAGTTTTTAAAGTCCTAAGTAAAATATAGGACTAAAATATGCCCAAAATTAAATGGGAAACCGAAACAAGCGACTTTAGTAGGTCATCATGAATAAAATTGGCCTAAGGATCTAAGTTGAATAATATTCTAATAATGAATCTATGAATTAATAATATGTTAATCCAACTTTAAAACATATTTTTCTAAATGCATAATTATAACAATAAAATTATAAAAAATACTTAGCATGCTTGAATTTTGCATTTTAATATATATTAACTCATATATATTCTAAACAAATTGCAATACTTCAGGCAATTTAATATGCACCTTAATATTAAATTAAAATTCAAATAGCAAATTTAAGACTTAATATTTCACTGCTGGAAATTACCATTTTTCCGACCTCATTCCGACCACCCAAAAAAGTGGTCACAAAAAGTAATTTTTTTTTTCCTTTTTTCGTCCAAAGCTTGCACTAGTCCAAAAATGGTCTAAATTTTCGACCACTTTCTCTTAGTGGTCAGTAAATACCGAACACTATTTAAATATAGTCGGAAAATTATTTCGAACTTGAAAATTTTAAAATTAATCTTTTTTTCCGACAACCATAAGTGGTAGAAAATAAATAAATAAATAAATAAATATAAGCTCAGCTCCACCATCCATTTAATTTCCTCCACTACTGCTACTTCGAAGTCTTCGAACTATTCATCTCACTCGATCTCCATCCATCTCTCAGTCGACCGCTGCCTCCTCCGCCGACGCTGCCCTCTCCTCCTCCGCCGATGCTGCCTCTCCTAAGACGCCGACGCCGCCTCTCCTAAGACGCCGCCGCTGCCGCCGCCTCTCCTAAGACGCCGACACCGCGAACCGCCGCGACCTGCAATAGACACCACCGCCATTCCGTCTCGACTAGCCACTCACCCTGCTAGCCTCCGCCACAGCCACTGCTAGCCTCCACCACCGCTGATAAGTCTCCCTTCAAATTTTTTGTTATTTATTTCTTCTCCTAATCCCTAAAATCAAACTTGACGGCTCAGATCTGGACGGATTCGCTCTGTTTTCGCTCAAAATATACTCGCCGGAAGAAGTAGTAGAACCTGAGATTCAAGCTTATAGCCGGCATGCATCACCTGCCTAAAGTATTGTCACTCACATAATTGTGTGCCTACAGTGTGAAAAACATCTTAATTTTGTACTTGATCTCTTCTTGACTCCTTTAGTGTAAACTGAATGTCTTGATTGTTTCTATTTTGTCTCAGATTCCAGCACCAAAAAGAGGTGATATTGTTAGGCAGATTGGTGATGCACTTAGAGCAAAACTTCACTACTTTGGCCAACTTGTTTCACTTGAAATGGGGAAAATACTACCCGAAGGAATTGGGGAGGTTCAAGTATGTATACTTTACTAATTAAGTCTGTGGTGTAACAAAAGAGTTTTATTCTTCTGCAAGAAATGAAACTGTTCCTTGACTTGTTCTCCTGCCAACAATAATGTACAAGTTAATTCCATTTCCCCTGAGAATAATTGATGGTTGTCATTTCTAAATTTCTTACTACTTGGGCCTATGTGCTAGTGCATAATCATCTTGGATCTTCCTTTTTTATTATCACATTTTTTCGAATGGCTATTACATATTAAATTGGCAATACTTAAATGCAAGTGATGATACTAATTACTGATTAGTTATATATTTTCTTTTAGCATTCATGCCAGAATGAATTAGTGATATAACTTTGAAAACAATTTAATCAGGAAATTATTGACATGTGTGACTTCGCTGTTGGTTTGAGCTGACAACTAAATGGATCAGTCATACCATTAGAACGTGAGTCCACTCTTCTTCACCTGCTTATATCTGATTTCTTTGTAAATGCTCTAGGAGTTATATTTGTGAGGATATCTTTCATTTCCTTGTTGTCTCTTCTCTAGATTAATTAGCTCTACTTGGTTTTATTATAAGGTAGAAGTGAATCAGATACAATCAGAAAATTTATAATCTGGATATTGATATGTTGCTTCTTCTGGATTTTTGGGCTTCTTTGCAATGTTTTTTCAGAAGTTCAATTTAATTTAGTTGTGTTTTTTTTTTTTTTTCAACAGGCCCTAATCATGTGATGTTGGAGGTGAAGTAGATAACAGACCATAATTTTGGTATTATGTTTTTTTTTTTCTATACTACACTTGATGTTCCTTGTCTATTCTTCATGGACAGGTGTGAAGTCCTCTAGGGGTAGTTGGTGTTATTACAGCTTTTAACGAGAATTGAGATGTCTTGATGGTTTGCAATATAGTTTATCAGTTATGGAGTGTTGCTTTGTAATTTGTGAATTCACAAGAGTTTCTGAGAATGTTTCTGGTGATTTAATATTTTGGTATGGCATTATATTGGTGAAGTTTTTACCAAACACACTATTAGATGATCACTTTGGCATTAATGAGTAACTTTTTCAAACATGATTGTACAGGATGGAATGCATGCATTGCATTAGTATGTGGCAATGTTGTCTGGTAATTTCCTAACCAAAGTCGTCTTAGATTATGATAGCAACTATTTGAAAATAAAATATTTGATTTTTATTGGTCAGCGGTTTCTCACTGGATTTCTTCTATGCTTAAGTGTGTTCTTCTAAATGTACATAGTGCATAGTTTTCTTAATTTGTTGACTTAATCCCTTCAAAAGTCTGGATGTCTTAGAGAGTGACAATCCTACTTCTTGATTCAAGTCCATGTTTGAAATCCTCTTTCATATTTAAACTGGATTCTATTTTTTAATTTGTTTATCTACTTTATGATCACAGGAAAGGTGCGCCAACTACACCATTGGTTACAATAGCAATGACAAAAATTATTGATGGGGTGTTAGAGAAAAACAATTTGCCTGGTGCAAGTTTCACTGCTTTTTGTGGGGGTGCTGAAATTGGTCAAGCCATAGCAAAAGATACACGAATCCCTCTAGTCTCATTCACTGATAGCTCAAAGGTAACTTGTCTCACTTGTTTCTGGCAATCATTTACCGACAGATAATATTGATTGCTATTATTCTGACTGCCATTTGCCACCTTTGTATTTGCCCTACTTGTGTTTGTGCCTACTGCAGGTGGGTCTTTCAGTACAACAAATAGTAAATCAGAGGTTTGGTAAATGCCTACTTGAGTTAAGTGGTAATAATGCTATAATTGTAATGGATGATTCCGAAATTGAACTTGTGGTTCATGCTGTTTTGTTTGCTACGGTTGGAACAGCTGGTCAGTTCTGTACAACATGCCGTAGGCTGGTAAAAATGATTTTTTTTTTTTTATAATTCCTATTACACTTTATTGTGTAATTATTTCATTTTAAAAAATTGGCTAATACTCTTCTTTGTGATTCCTTACAATAAAGCTTCTTCATGAAAGTATATATCACAAAGTAGTTGAACGACTTCTTGATGTATACAAGCAAATTAAGATAGGGGATCCTTTAGAGAAGGGTACCTTGCTTGGACCACTGCATACACGTGCTTCAAGGGAGAACTTTGAGAAGGGAATTCAGAAAATTATATCGGAGGTATGTACTGTAATTTTCACATTTTTCATTACATAGTATTAAATTACCAACTTTCCATTGAGCTTGATGATTTTAAACTTTTTGATTGTTATTCTTTTAGGGTTAATTTCTTTATTTTATATTTAATTATACTCTTTTAAATAAATAAATGTTTTGTGATGATTTCTTTATCCTAATTCTGATTGGATCCTCACAGCGCACAGTGTAGCTCCTATAAGCACTATTATCCTGTGATCTATAATTAGCACATTACTCATATCCTAACAGTCTCAGTTTGACAAACTTAAACACTGAAATTTCATAAGCATTAAGCAGAGCTTTATAATAGCATCAATATAATCTTATGTTGAAAACTTAAAGGGTGGTTTACACACACACCCTTATCTTCAAGGTTATCCACCGTTATTTTTGTCGTTCTGAAGAATGAATGATATTGTCTTGGAATAACCAAATCACATCTCAAGACAACCAGGCATATAGCAACAATTGGTTTCTTATATGATTTGTTTCTTTGACTCTTGTTTTATCTATAAAATTTTACTAATAGATTTAATTTTCTGGGAGGCAAGATCCTTACAGGAGGTTCAGTTATACCATCTGAGGGGAACTTTGTGCAGCCAACAACAGTAGAAATATCTCCAAGTGCTAATGTGGTGAAGGAAGAGTTGTTTGGCCCAGTTCTTTATGTTATGAAATTTAAGGTAGCAACTTTTTAATGCAAATTTATGGTTTTCATTGATTAGAAATTGTTTTGTGTTGTGTCGCATGGACAAACATTGTTCAATTAATGTCTCACTTCTGTGTACCCACTATTCTTGGATGTTGTTGAAATAAACAACTCTGTGCCTCAGGGTTTGAGTAGTTCAATCTTCACCAATAAACCTGAATATATTCAGGTGGATTGGATTAGAATTTCAACAGCTTATTTTCTCATTTAGTGAAATTGAAAGATTATAATCGAATGAAATGTGTATAGTTTTTCAGCAAATATTTGACTAACTTGCAACAATAAATAAATAAATAAATAAATAAATAAATAAATATATATATATATATATATATATATATATATATATATATATATATATATATATATATATATTCATTTCATTACAGAGGATTCCTCTGTAGTGAAATGATTTTTTTTATTGACTGCGTCCAGATTTTTCGACCACCAAAGTGGTCGAAAATTTCGACCACTTTGGTGGTCGGAAAATCTGGACCCGCCTAACTATTCTCTTGGCCATTTTTTTGACCACCTTAGAAAAGTGGTTCCTCTTTTCGACCACTCTCTCTGGTGATCGGAAATAGCTAGAGGGATTTTTCAGAATACCCAAATTGATCGGAAAAGAGGTCGGTACAGGCGTTTCCGACCTAATTAAGGCCATTTCCGACCACTTTTCGGTGGTCGGAAAATGACAAATTTCCAGCAGTGTTTGCCCAAAATTAAATAATAATTTAATAATAAATTAATGCCAAAATTTAAAGGAAACTAAAGGACATTAATATTCTAAATTAAGCAAATACCATACATTTACCATTTGTTAAAATAATATACAATATTAGATTAGGTAATATAATTATGGTAATAATAAACTAAATAATTACCATTTACCAAATTAATATTTAATATTAATTAAGACAAATAAATTATATGGTAAATGAAAGTAAATGAAAATGGTAACTCACAAACATATTTCAATGCAGTGCATTTATTACCATTTCCGTTTCCTCTTTTCTCAAATAAGGAGCGCAGCCGAGAAAACAGTAGCAGCATCGCCGGAAAGTCAAAACAGAACCAGCATCGCTGGAAAGTCAGCCGTCCTCCGTCGTCCCACCACGCTGCGCATCGCCGTCCGCCGCCGCGATGTCAGTACCGAAAGCTCGATGTCGTTGCTTATGGCAATCGGCGACCGGAGGGCAAACGATGCAAAACGACCGGGAAGTTTTTTTTTTTTTTTTTTTTTTTTATTTTTTAACTTCCGTCGATCGTCGTTCCTCCGCCGCCAACAGCGGCCGCCGCAACGTCAAAGCCGGTGGACACTTCTCCGTCCAAAAATCCGGCGACAATAGTCTTCCATCGGCAACAGAAGAGCAGCTCATATTCCAAAAAATTAACGGCAACATCATAGCAACGGCCGGCAGGAAAAAAAATTTAATTTCGAGATTTAAAAAAAAAAAACGAAATTAAATTTCTTAATGTCAAAAAAATAAAATAATTTTCAGCAGTCCAAATATTCATTTACAAAAACTTAATGTATATGAAATAAATTAATATTGTTTTCAGGCAAAAACAATCAACCAGGCAGAGATTATAAAGGCTCTGATACCAAATGTGAGATCTAAATATGATCTAATTATATACAGAATAATCTACGAGAAACTTAACTCGTAGTAGCGGAAGCGGAAGCACTGTAGATCTCCAGCCATAGTTGATATCCTGTTGTATTGCCTCTTGAATGGTAGATCTGCAGAATAGGGTTAGCCGTTCTGTCTCATACTTGACTCAGAACCCTAGATGATGTATTGGTATTTTATGAGCAGTATTAGTACCATATAATATTCATGTATCTTGTATCCCATCAATACAAACTTTATATAGGCACATTGGTGGAATAAGACTTAAACGTAAATGTCCAGTCCAACCAATTACTTAATGGGCCCAGTCCACTTGCACCACATAAGTAAGACCCATAATATATAATATATATTATACAGGAAAGTCTTACAGTACATCGATACAAAAATGACTTCATTTTATTTAAAAAAAAAAAACTATTTTCAATTGTTGTTAGTTACGTAAATATATGTTCATAATTTTATAATTTCACATTATGAATGTATAGTTATGAAGTTATGGATATGTAGTTATACAATTCTGAATGTATAATTATGAAGTTATGGATGTGTAGTTATGAATGCAATTCTGAATGTATAGTTATGAAGTTATACATGTGTAGTTATGCAATTATGAATGTATTGTTATAAAGTTAATGGATGTGTAGTTATGCAATTCTGAATGTATAGTTATGAAGTTATGGATGTGTATTTATGCAATTCTGAATGCACAACATAAGGCTGTTAACGGTATTTAAACTAATTTTTTAAAAAAATTAAATATCAAAACGACGTCGTTTTTGCAACCGTGTGCATTATGCATAGTGCACACGGTTGCACAGCATAACTACTCGTCGAATACATGTATTAATTGGGTACTATGCAACATGTATGTTACTCTTAAACTTTATTCTTTATTCTTTTTCCCTTACATTATGACACAATATTAATTTATTCTTCTATTTGAGCAAATACTAACACTTTAAGTATAGGCAAATAATGATACAGGAATCTAATGCAATTTTTTTTTTTTAATGTAGAAATTAAACCAATTACATTCCTTTAAAATACAGGCAAGTGATGATATATTTGTGTTTTCTAAACACAAATATATGTATTTAAAATATTTGTGTTTTGTTTTTCCTTTAGAGTAAAACTATTATTTCAAAAATTTGTAAGAGAAATTATTTCAAATTGGACTTCTAAAATATATATGCATCTAAATAAAATTTCCGATATTTACTATATTTTGAAATGACATTATTTTCATGTAAATGGAATACTAAATAATTTTACGCATTTAATATAACTGTAAATTTCATTCTCCTAAATTAACACTAACAGGGTGTTTGGTTGGAGATGGAGAATTACGTGGAAAATGAATTGCAATTTTATAGGAGATGAATTACTGAGAATAAAGTGAGAATTTAAATTCAGTATTTGATTTACAGGAATAAAATTATTGAGAATTTCAATTCTAATGTTTGGTATACATGGGAATTGAAACGGAATAAGTAGTATAAAGTAAAAAATGTTCATTGTTGTTGTTAGGCATTAATTTTAGAGTCTTCAAGCACAAAGTCAATAAGCCTACTTTTTTTCCCAGCTATTATCTTCCCTCGTGGTGAATATATCTCAACAATACGACCAATCAAATATGTGTTTGAAAACAACAGCATATTAGTGTATTAGTTAAATAAAGATTAACATCACAATTTTTATTTATTTTTTGTAAACATACTGCATTTAGAAAAAATTTGTTTTAACTCTAACCTATCAACACTTTCTCATCAATTCCTTGCTTTGAAAGTATGGCTTCAAAACTCTTGAAGCGAAACATTGTTTTTGGAAAATTAATCTGCTTGTACTCCTTTACTAGAGTATCATGTTTGAATTTCATCAGGTAACGATGAGTGCTTGTTTTATGTTTGAAGAAATTAGTGATGCATAGGAAGCTTCTAATGACATACACTTTACCCTCCTTGAATATGTTCTTATATTTTGGAACAATATCCTTAGGTATATGGGCATGGATGAAGACACCCTATATTTAAAAACACACCAAAAATAACTAAGTTAGATATCAACAATGTAAGATGTGTAAGAAATAAGAGTACAAAACATTGTAAGATATAATTTACAAACCTCTTGATCATGAAATAGACATTCTTGACTTCTTATTAATTGTTTACCTTTATTTTCAATGACAACATAAGATCGCACACAACGCAATCTTATAGCCTTTGTGGTCTGCTGAGGATGAAGTTGCATCGCAACAATAAACTGCCCAGACATTATGCCCCAGACATTATGCCACTGCACTCCAGAAAACTCAGCTCAGAACCTTGATCTTCAATTTCTTATATTTCAACTTCTATTTGCATAAAGGGTCAACAATCATAAACTTGTAATCTATTTCGCTTAGCTTTGGGTTTGCGCATCAAAGCTTAGAATGTGTGTGTATTTATAGGCGTAGAAGTGAGCTGAGTAATGTATAAAATAATACAATACTTGTACTTTTAAGCACTTTCATACCTATTTAGACTATTTTACACGCTACCTAAATAAATTACACCACTAACTCTGCAGTAGATAATATAGGACTAAAATCACACGCCTCCTATTACAACCTGAACAGGCGGAAGAAGAAAAATTTGAATTATAAATCTGTTTTTTTTAAACTACGTTGATAAAACTGAATTGGAAAATGTAGCATTCTGATTGGCTGAAATCCGACTCCCGTTTATAAATATATAGATTATATGAGAGTAAGTAATAACTGCCAATTAAGGCTCCATTTGAAAAGTAGGAAAATGACTTCCGTATTGAATAGACTGTTACAGATCCTACATCAGCTACCATTCCTGCTGCTCCATCTCTGGAGCTACCCCTCCGAACGAGGAACCTGCTGATGCACCCCAAGAGGATGCAGAGCTTGTGTTCCGTCAACAAGTTCGCCAAACGCTGGAAGTTTCTCCCGCGTTCATTAATGCGCTATCGGTACGCCATGAGCTCGGATATTGGATTGATTCAGCACGCAAAGTTTTAACTCACGTGGTCATTCCTTTGAATGTTACTGAGATACGCCGCTGCTTAGCCGCTACTTTCCGTGGATCACTCACTGTTGCATACCTAAATTTAGGTTCTATGCGCCAGACTGCCATTGATGCTGAACTTGATGCATTCGTTCCTGTGGCCATTGATGTTTGCATGACTGCCTACTCTCAAGGAGTTGAAGATCCCTCTCAAATCCATAAATCCTCACTTGAAGATTGGTTCGCCTTAGTGGTCCTTACAAGTCCGTGTTGCACACAATACTGTTGTTCTTGTCTGCACACTCCCTCCCACTCTATACACAGATTTCAGTACTCAGCTGCGTATGCTTTTCATTGTTCCTTCTGAAGATGAT